CCCTGGTTGGTCGTGCGGGTGGCAGCCACTCGATGTGTCCCTTCACGTCGATGTTTCTCTCTCTCTCTCCCTTCCTCTCCCTCCCTCCCACTCTATCTGTACAAAAAATGGAAAAATATCCTCAGGTGAGGATAAAAAAAAACAAAAAAAAACTTCAGTGTTTATACAAATAAAGTTTTATCGGAACACAGCCATATCTATTTATTTATGTAATGTGTTTGGCTACTTGCATGCTACTACACTGGCAGTACCGGCCAATCTGTTGATAATTTCAACAGACATTGTAGAGACCACAAAACCTAAAATATTCTTAATATCTAGCTCTTTACAGAAAAAGTTTGATAGACCCCAATTAACACTATTTAAATTTAATGCAATTGTTATTATTGGATTTTAATCTACAATCTTAACATTTGTTTTCAACATTTCTTTGTACCTTTGTTCCATTTGTTTCTGCCTCCTTTTAGATTAACTGAGCATACTTTAGCATTCATTTCATATACACTATTGGCTAACTAGGCAAATTTCTTTAATATTTTAGTGGTTGTTCTAGGTTTTACAATATCCATCTTTAACTCAATACAATCTACCATGAAATTATGTTCTCCCACTTCACATAAAATGTGAACACTTTTTACCCTTACAGTACTACTCGTCCTCTTCCCTGCTTTTATCCTTTATAATAGAGTTGTCACATATTTTACTTTTACGTGTTATAAAACTTACAATATATTATGATTTTTGTTTCAAACAATTATCTTTTTAAAACATTTCTAAAATTAGAGAAAATGTATTTTATGTTTACTCACATATTTATCATTTCTTGTACCCTTCTTTATCTCTTTGTCTAGATCCAAGCTATCATCTGATCCATTTCCCTTTATCTGAAGATGTCACTTATAGTACATGTCAGCCAGCTAATAACAAATTCTCTGGTTTTATTTGTCTGAAAAAGTTTTTATTTCACTGCATTTTCAAAGGATATTTTCCAGGATACATAGTAAAAGTTCTTTTCATTCAGTACTTTAAGTGCTCCATTATCTTCCTGGTCTGTATAGTTTCAGACAAGAAGTCTTCATTGTTTCTCTGTATGTAATATGTCCTTTTCTTTGGTTGCCTTCAAAGTTCTCTCTTTAACACTAGTTTTTAGTAGTTGGTTATGTCTTAGCATTCTGTGTGTGTTTGTAATGCACTATCCAATTGGTTAAATCCTTTCAGTTATTATTTTTTAAAATTTTAGACACTGTTATTTTTCATCCCTAGAAGTTCCTTTTGGTTCTTTTTTATATCTCTCATTAGTCTACTCATTAAGTTTATATTTTTCTTTAAGCACATGTATTAGTTGCAATAGCTACTGTAACATCCTGTCTGCTAGCTCTATCACCTCTGTGATTTTTCAATGTTTCTTTGGACGGATTTTTCTCCTGATTACAGATTACACTGAACCTGCTTCTTGCCATGTCTAGAAATTCCTGCTTGGGTGCTGGAAAATATCAATGTTACACTATGGTTGTTGAATATTTGAGATCATTGCATAAAGATTTGTTTTAGCAGGCAGTTATTTATAGATACATTCGACCCCTCTGAGAACTTTTCTTTCTTTAGTACGTAACAAATCCACTGGGCTCTTCACTGAATGCCTTGGGTGCGCCAAAGGACCCTTCATTCACTGTCTAGTTATAGTTAAAAGGCTCCTATATAGCTCAGGAAATGTTCTGCTAATAATTCCATGATGTTCACTGACCAGCCTTATGGAGTTTCACTTTATGCATTCATGACCTGGGATTCAGCAAAGACTCGAGGTGGCCCATATATTGGAGTTCTTTTATCTACATAGGTCCTTTCTTTTCAACACCTGGTCATGCATCTTCTTACTGCCTAACCCTAGTCAAAATCGAATCTTTGTCTTCTCAACTGAGTGAGGCTTCCAGGCTCTCCTTACAGTTCCTCTCCTTGCTCCTGTGGTACCAAAGACGCTTCCAGAAAGGAAGCCACAGTAGTTACAGAGCTCATATCTTTTATTTCTCCTCAATCAGGGAGCATAGTCCTTCCTACTCTGCTTATGGTATAATATCTAAAAAGAGATGGTTTGTGTATTTTATTTTTTCTTTATTGATTTTTGAGTGAGAGAAAGGGAAAGGGAGAGACAGAAACATTGATGAGAGAGAACATCGATTGGCTGCCTCCTACATGCTCCCCATTGGGGATTTGGCCCCACTACCTGGGCATGTGCTCTGACTGGGAATCGAACTGACGACCTCTTGGTGCATGGATCAACACTCAACCACTGAGCCACACAGGCCAGGCTGGTTTGTGTATTTTAGTCCAGTTTACTAGCTGTTTGTAACAAGAGGGTAAAGACACCCTTGTTACTCCATCATGGCCAGAGCTAAAATTCCTAATTTTTAAAACAAAATTAAAGACATGTATTTGAGCAGATCATGTGAATTTAAGGAATAAATTATAAATGGATTTATTTTTATACATGAATTACCTAAAAAGAAACAATAAGTATATCATATTCTGGTTTTTAATATTTTTTAAGTGGGAGGGACTAATATTAGATCCTTAAAACAACTTTAGAGGTGACTATTATTATCTCCATTATGATGAGGCTCAGAAATTAATATTGCCCAGGTGACACAAATATCAAGTAGAAAGGCTAAGATTCTAACCCAGCTAAAAGTAAAGACCTACACCAACCACACTGTTTCCCATTATTTCTCACCACAGATACTGTATCAGATTTGGTTTACCAAAATGAATCTATTTAAATATCCTGTGTTTTACTTAGCCAGGTTATTATTAACTATCAATCAGAATATCTGATCAGCACGCGTAAAAAAATTTACCACACTGAATTGAGAATATTTCATATAAAGGTGACAATACAATGTCATTGCTAGCCTAATGGGACCTTTTGACAAATAGATGTATATATTTTTTTTTTTTTTATCCTCATCCGAGGACATTTTTCCACTTTTTGTACAGAGTGGGAGGGAGAGAGAGGAAGAGAGAGAGGGGGAAACATCGACGTGAAGGGACACATCGAGTGGCTGCCACCCGCACGACCAACCAGGGCCGGGGACAAACTGCAACCGAGGTACATGCCCTTAGCGGGAACCGAACCCGGGTCTCTCCGGACCGCAGGCCGACGCTCTAACCGCTGAGCCAAACCGGCCAGGGCCAAATAGATGTATATTTACTTAAATTTAAAACTGGCATTTTAACATATTTTAAATGTCTTACAGACCCTTGGTTATGATTTATTCAAGCCAGTAAACCCCTAAGAAAAACATGTATTTCCTATTTCATGTAAGCAGACATTATGTTAACCATGTAATGTTGGAGATCACTAGAATATAAGTTCCATTCAAGTTTTATTCATTACAAAAAGAAGGGTTTAACATACAATAGGTAGTCAATAAAGGGGACCCATAATTTTAATTCTCTAAAAGCATAATGACAGAGATACATTTCATCAAGATGGCAGGCTGACCTTGCTACCCAAATCCCTTAAAATGACAGTGAAAAAAGTAATGGGTTTATGTTTCCAATAAATATGGAGTAACAACTGTATTTACCTTACCTGCCTGAAACTAAACATGAAACAAAATATATGAAACCATGGCACTCAAGACATTATACAAGAGGCAAATAAAGACAGTGAACAGTGATATATGAGAGATGGGAAACAAAACAGATGAATCCTACAATTGCCCCAGCTACTACCTAGGTAAAGAGGCAAAGAGGGAAGAACATAAAATACAAAGGAAAAAATGTGACAAGAGATGTACAAGACCTGTGAAAACTGTAAAAAAGTGCTAATAAAAACTGAATAAGCCCTGGCTGGTTTGGCTCAGTAGTTAAGAGTGTCGGCCCACGGACCAAAGAGTCGCAGGTTCAATTCAGGTCAAGGACATGTTGCGGTTTGTCCCCGGTCCGAGTCGTGCGGGAGGTGGTCAATCGATGTTTCTCTCTCTCTCTCCCTCTCTTCCTCTGTCCCTCCCTCCCTCCCTCCCACTCTATCTAAAGATAAATGGAAAAATATCCTTGGGTGAGGATTAAAAAAACACAAAACTGAATAAAACATAAATAAGTGGAGCAATGTACCAGGTTCAAGTATCAGAACACAATATCTTAAGGTGCCATTTATTTCCCCCCAAATTCATCTATAGATTCACCATAATCCCAATGAAAATTTCAAGAAACTTTTTTTGTAGAAATTGATAAGCTTATTTTAAAATTAGTATGGAAAGGCAAAGAACCTAGAATAGCTAAAAACACCCTTTAAAAAAAAGAATCAAGTTGGAGGGCTTGAAGTACCTGACTTCAAGACTTATTACAAAGCTAGTTATGTCAAGTCAATGATACTGGCCTCAAGATACACAAACAGATCAATGAAACAGAATGTAGGATTCAAAAATAGACCTATTACAGTCAATTAACTCTTGAAAAAATTTTTAGTGAAATAAAATTTACATAACATAAAACCCACCATTTTAAGCATTTTAAAGTACACAATTCAATGGTTTTCAGTATATTTGCGATATTGTGCAACTATCACCCCTATCTAAATTATGGAATATTTCTACCAACCCAGAAATAAACCTTATCCCTTCCGATTTCTGCACCTCAATCCCTGCCAACTACTAATCTATTTTCTGCCTCTATGGATTTGCCTAATTTGGAAATTTAATATAAATGAAATCATACTCAATGAAACCAAAAGTTGGTTGTTTGAAAAGATGAACAAAAGTGACAAATCTTTAGCTTGACTGATGAAGAAAAATAAAGAAAAGATTTAAATTAATAATGACCTTACAGAAATAAAAGGATTATTAAGAGAATACTATTCACAAATGAATGCCAACATATATAACCTAAATGAAATAGATACATTCCTAAAACTACCAAAAGTTACTCAAGAAGAAATAGAAAATCTGAAAACCCAGAGGGTATTCAAGTAAAAAGATTAAGTCAGTAATCAAAAAACTTACCCCAAAGAAAAGCCCAGGACCAGATGGCTTCACCGGTTAATTCTACCAAATATTTATAGAAGAATTAACACCAATCCTCAAATGCCTCCAAAACACAGAAAAGGATGCAATACTTCCCAACTCATTCTATGAGGCCAGCATTACCCTGATGCCAAAACAGACAAAAAAAATCACAAGAAAACTATAGATAAGTATCCTTTATGAAGATGGACACAAAAATCTTGAATAAAATACAAACAAACTGAATCCAGCTACATACTAAAGAAATCTCATACCATGACCCAGTGGGATTTATCTCAGAAATATAAGGAAGATTCAAGGATAGGAGGGGCTAGTCATGCCAAAAGACCAATCAATTGGGGCTTTGCCACTGATATCAGCTCTACCTCTGTGGAGGGGAAAGGGTCTGGAGATTGAGTTCAATGACATGGCCAAAACTCCAATAAAAACTCTGCTACACTGAAGGTCAGTGGAGGTTCCAGACTGGTAAATATACATTGATGTGCTGGGAAGATGATTCACTCTGATTCTAGAGTGAGAGGACCTGGAAGCTCTACATTGGGTCCCTCCCAGATTTTGCCTTATACGCCTCTTCATCTGACTAGTCCTAAATTGTATCCTTTAAAGTAAAGCCAAGCCCTGGCCTTTTGCTCAGTAGCTAGAGGGTCGGCTCTCGGAACACATAGTTGCGGGTTTGATTTCCGGTCAAGAGCATGTGCCTGGGTGGCAGGTTCGAACCCCAGCCCCAGTTGGGGTTGTGCATGAGGCAACCAACCGATATGTCTCTCTCACATCAATGTTTCTCTTTCTCCCTCCCTCCCACCCCCCTTCCCTTCCTTCCACTCTATCTAAAAATCAATGGAAAAATATCCTTGGGTGAGGATTAAAAAAAAAAAGAAAGCTATAATTGTAAATATAGCACTTTACTGAGTTCTGTGAGTTCTTCTAGCAAATTATCAAACCCAAAGTGAGTCATGGGAACTTATAACTGGCATCTAATATGGGGGCTGTCTTACTGGTGACTGTACTTAAACCTGTGGAATCTGGAGCTAGTGCCAGGTGGTAGGAGTCAAAATTAAATGGTATTGCAGTTGATGTAAAAGCCAACCAAGAGTTTTTATTAAATATGATATGCTGATTCTAAAATTCTAATGAGACTATAAAGAACAGAAAATAACCAATAGGTTTTCAAAAAAGAATAAGGTAAGAGAACTTGCCTTATCAGATAAAAGGACTTAATTTAAAGCTATAGTAAATAAAACCATGTGGTGAAGGAGACATCAGTGTAATAAACAGAAAGCCTACAAATAGACCCACACATACATGGAAACTGGTATGACAACTGGCGTTACAAATTAGAAAGGGGGAACAAAACCTCATACATTACACAAAACTTTTAGAAAACAAAAAAAGATGAGTGCCTTCTGACCTCAGAATCATAAAAGGGGTTTTTAAAACAAGATATAGAAAGTGTAACTGTAAAAATAAAAAAGATTGGCAATTACACTACACTGAAATTTTAAAGTTTGGATCAACAAGAGATGTTATAAAAATAGTAAAAAAGGGTAAGCAGTATCGAGATATTCACATTGCAAACAAAAATGACAAAGAATTGACAGCAAAATAAAAACAGACAACTACAAAGAAAACAGGGAAGGCTATTATAAAAAGAAGATTTATAGAAGGGAAAACTAAATTGCTGGAAAAACATGAAAAAATGTTCAACCTTATCACAGTAACAGTAAGAAACTAATTCACAAGCACATTATCAAAAACTTAAAAATCTGACAATATCAAGTGTTGATTATCTGAATGGGAACCCTCATACACTGCTGGCAGTGTATAAACTGATAAAGCCAAGAGCAATCTGGGTATACCAAGGCTAAAATAAAGATTATATACCCTTTAGCCCAGCATTTCCACCTCTAGGCAAAGCCGCTAGAATGTTTATTACAGCCTGGTCGGTATGGCTCAATGCACTGAGCGTTGTCCCATGTACTGAGAGATCCGGGTTCCATTCCCAGTCAGGGCACATGTCCACGTTGCCGGCTCTATCCCCAGTAGGGGGTGAGCAGGAGGCAGCCGATGGATGTTTCTCACATTGATGTTTCTATCTATCTCTCCCTTTCTCTCTCTCCAGAGAATCATTAAGAACATAATAAAAAAATAAAAAAAAGAAAGTTCATTACAGCATAACTCTTATCAGCACAAAAATAAACAAAATAGCCTAAATATCAAAGTAAAAAACTTTACAGTATTTTCATGTAACAGGATACTATACAGCAGTTAATGTAAATAACTAAAATAACATTTACCAATAGGGATATATTTCTAAAACAGTGTTGGGGGTGGGGGAAGGAAGTTGTAGAGGAATGAGAACAATATTATACTGTTTACTAAAGTTTTAAAGCAAGTAAATTCATAGCATGTATTATTTATGGATATATAAATATATACTCTTAGTATAAAACTGTGGGAACAATAAAATCCAAAATTGAGGACAGTGGTTGCCTGTCGAAATGGAGGAAAGAGAATCAGAACAGAAGTACACAGAGAGGGCTTTAAATAAATCTGAAATTTTAATATCTTTAAAAAAAAAAAAGCAAAAGCAAGGACATTGAAAGAAAAAGGCACATCCTAGAAAAGTTCAAAACTCCATGGATAAAAAAACAAAAACAAAAAAACAAAAACCATAAAAATCTTTCAGGAAAGAAAAGAAACTCACTTACAAAGGAACAAGAATCAGATTGACAGATTTCTCTTCAGCAACAGTGGATGCTAGAAGATAAAAGAGCAATATTGTCAAAGTTCTGGGGGGAAGTTATTTGAACACTGGAAAACTGTATTCAATCTAAATGGGCACTCAGAACAGGGGGCAAAATAAATATATTTTCAAACATGCAAGAACTCAAAGTTCACCACTTAGAAATTCTGTTTGAAAAAGAATGTAATACAGCAACAGAACTCATCTAAGCAGGAAAATGTGGGAATCAAAAACAGTGGTGAGCAAATAAACTATTAAAATATATAATTTAATTTAAATGATTGTTGAGAAACACAAAAATAAATGAAAGACAACATGGAACTAATATCCCAAATAGTTAAAACATGGCAGGTTGGGTGTGGGACTGACAGGCAGGGTCAGGGAGGGAACCTATTAAGATTCTTATATTGCTTTGTGTTTATTACAGTTATTAAAGCAACTTATTGTGCTCTAGTATCAACCTTAGAGAAAATGAAGAAAATCTCCCAATATTAATTTCAACTCAGGTAACATTACAGGTTTGAGTTATCACATAGTGTCTAATATCCTATATAATAGTTGGAGAAACAGTCAGCCCCTGATATGGAATTCGACTCAAATATTTCTGCTAGAGAATCTTTCAAATTAGTCAAGAATTACTTAGCAACTATCAACCCACAGAAATGACAAACATTTACTTATGTACTTCCCATCTATATAACTCACTCAATCCACACAATATATTTTACATATCTGTGTCTCAATTTAGAATGGCATTTGAATTTATCTGAAGTTCCATTTCCTTGTAAAGGGGGGGAGGGAATATACAATAAACTATCAAATCTTTACTCTTAAGAACATAGCAATCTCTATAATTATAAAAAAAAAATTTTGCAAATGAAAATGACAGAATACCTCGGTTAAAAAAGCTTTACCTATGAAAGAATACAACTGAACACCAATGCCAAGATAGTTTAATAAAGTTAATTTTAATTATCTTAAGTACATAAATAACATACTCTAAAACTGCCCTTAACAAAATATTAAGTATACATTTAACATATGTATAGCAACTTAAACAATTCACAGAAAACAAAAAAGCTGTAAACTAAGATATATTGCCATAATCTGTTTATTCAGAGTAAGCTTTTAGTAAGCTATAAAATTAACACAGCTAGTTCTTCAAACAGTGCTTGTATATGTTTATTAGAATTCTGCATTTTTAAAAATAGGAAATCACACCCTTCCCCTATAAACCCTGGGCTTTTTTGGCCATTTCTTTCCATAATAAATGGAACTATTAATAAATGGAACTCTTTACTCTATAAGCCAGAAGAAACCTGGGAATCACACTAAACTCTTTTTACTCGAAGACCCTTCACATCAATTCTACCTACAATATCTCAGATGTAGCCTTTCTTCTCACTCCCGACAGCCACCGCCCCAATTCATACCTCACCAATATTATAACAACTTCTAGCTGATTTCCCTACCCTCAAGCTGTACACTCTGCTTTCCCAATAACTCAAAAAATGTTACTTTCAGAAATAAAAATTTCAGGTCACACCTGGTGGAGATGATATCAAACAACTTAGAGAAACTAAACTGGGATACTTCTTTTTCTTTTTTTTTTCATTTTAAAAGGTAAATAGCAGGAAGGTAATAATGACTTCCCTGAGATGTCTTGGGAAAGATAAAAGAAAAATATTTTAAAACTGTATTTTGAGGATTCCTATAATTAGTAATAAACTTAAAAGACAGAGGTTAACATATATGCTTTGGCATGCTGTTAAGACCATAAAATCCAAGAAAGGAATTGAAAGATTACACAAAGATTTCTCAACTCAGGCTTCTCAGGTACTATTACAATATTCAAGATGGAAAGAACCTGGAAAGAAACACCTGAGGAAAGGAGGGTGGGAGAAAAGGAGAGAGGAAGAAAAACAAGTGGAGGAAGGGAGATCCAGTAGTATGTATCTTTATAAGTAATATCCAAAAGGAAATGGAGAGTTACACCCTGACAAATCTCTAGCAAGTCAAGGATGAACACAAAACATATAAATATATCAAACATTCATTCTACTAACATTCAAGCACGTATGATATGCTAAGTACTAGGCTAGAAACTTAAATAAGGTAAAACAAATTCTTTATGGATCTCAGTCACTAACATGTTGTCTTCACTTAATGCGCTTTTTTTTTTTTTTACTTTAAACAAAATACTTCAAGGCATTTATAACTCATGTGTCCCAATCTAATTTTTTCACATAGTATGAAGTTCCTCAATCATAAATCTCTTAGAAACCTAATGCCTAAAATCAACTAATATCTGTACACCCCAGAATGTTTTACACTTCTATGACTTTTCCCATGCTGTTCCCTACCTAGAATGCTTTTCCATCTCCTAGCCAACCATTCAAATTTCCATAATGACTATAGTGATGCTATGGTATGTCCTGGGGAAAGTTAGGTACTTGCTCTTTTATATTCCCAAAGCAATTATACTTCCATATAATTGTTTACATGACCTTGTAAACATGATACGAGTATATGATGTCTATAAGAAACACACTTTAGCCCTGGCCGGTTTGGCTCAGCGGTTAGAGCGTCAGCCTGTGGTCCACAGAGACCCGGGTTCAGTTCCCGCTAAGGGCATGTGCCTTGGCTGCAGTTTGTCCCCGGCCCTGGTTGGGTTGTGTGGGGGGCAGCCACTCGATGTGTCCCTTTCACATCGATGTTTCTCTCTCTTCCTCTCTCTCCTTCCCGCTCTGAGTAAAAAATGGAAAAATGTCCTCAGGTGAGGATGAAAAAAAAAAAAAGAAACACACTTTAGAATTAAAGACACAGGAGGTGCCCTGGCCAGGGTGGCTCAGTAGCTAGTGTTGGCCCGCAGACCACAGTCACTGATTCGATCCCTGGCCCTGGTCCAGGTAGTGTGGGAGGCAACCAATCGATGTATCTCTCTCACATCAATATTTCTCTCTCTCTCCCTCCCCGACTTCGTCCCTCCCTCCATCTGAAAAAAAAAAAACAAAACAATGAAAAATACCCTCAGGTGAGGATTAAAAAATAAACAAATAAATAAAAATAAAGACACAAGGAGGTTAAAAGGATGGAAAAAGATATACCATAAAAGCAGTAACCAAAAGACAACTGGAATGGCTACACAAATACCGAGACAAAACTTAAAGTCAAGTACCAGGACAAACAGGTGACAACAGGCATTCCTAGTTACACATCAGAATCGACCATGCTTTTTTCCCCCTTAGCTTTCTGTGCTCCTCTTTCCTCTATTGCCACCACCCTCTGGGTCAACCAACGCCATGGGTTTTGGAAAACTGAAAAGTTCTGCCAGCCTCCAGGCACTCAACAACTACCTGGCAGACAAGAACTACACTGAGGGGTATGCGCCACCATAAACAGATATGGCAGTATTTGAAGCAGTCCCCGGCCCACCACCTGCTGATTTGTATCACCCCCCACGTTGAAATCTTACGACAAGGAAAAGGCCAGCCTGCCAGGAGTGAAGAAAGCTCTGAGCAAGTGCAGCTCAGCTAATGTGGAAGACACCACAGGAAGTGGAGCTACAGAGAGTAAAAAATGACGATGACATTAATCTCTTTGGATGTGAGGAGGAGGAAAGCAGCAAATAAGTAAAAAAGGCTATGAGAAGAGCTCCTTGCATAGTATGAGTTAAAGAAAGCCAAAAAAGCTGCTCTTGTTGCCAAATGTTTCATCTTATTAGATATGAAACCTTGGGATAACAAGTCGGAAATGGCAAAAGTAGAGGAGTGTGCCAGGAGCGTTCAAGCAGACAGCTTGGTCTGGGGCTCTTCTAAACTAGTTCCAGTGGGGTATGGAATTATAAATCTTCAAATACAGCCCTGGCCGATTTTGCTCAGTGGTTAGAGCATTGGTCCATGTACCAATGAGTTGTGGGTTCAATTCCGGTCAAGGACACATACCTTGGTTGCAGTTTTCGTCCCAGACCTGGTTGGAGTCGAGCAGGAAGCAACCAGTCAATATGTCCCTCTCACATTGATGTTTCTCACCCTCTCCCTCCCTCCCTCCCTCTCTCTCACTCTATCTGAAGATAAACTGAAAAATATCCTTGGGTGAGAATTAAAAATAAAAAATGGGGGGAGGGAAGAGAGAAACCACAGAACTTATATGTATGTATGCAGAACCATTGGACATAGACAGCAATGCTGGGGGTGGGAGGGCGGGATCGGGAGGAGGGTGGCAATGGGGGGGGGGGCAGAAACATCTGTAACAAAAATAAATTAATTTTTAAAAAGGGAGGAAAAAAAAGAAACTAAACCATTTTGAACAATTAAAAAAAAATCTTCAAATACAGTGCATAGTAGAAGATGATACAGTTGGAACAGATGTGGAGTGGATCACTGCTTTTGAAGACTTTGTGCAGTTCATGACTGTGGCTGCTTTCACCAAGATCTAAAACCCATCACCGTCCTTAAATTAAAGCTTGAAAGATTTAAATTAAAAAAAAAAAAAAGAATCACTGATGCCAGGACCCAAATCTTCAAATATTCTGATTTTATGGTATATGGTAATGTCAGGCATCAGTATAAGGATTCCTTAAAGATATAGCCAGAAATAGTTAATTAGGTAATCTAAGTATAATAAAGGTTAAAACCACTGAGCTAGAAGGAAAACACAAGACTCTTTACTTAGGGTAGTGGAAGTCATAACAGTAGAGGAACAGAGGCTTACTGATGACGCACTGCACAAAACTTTACAACTATGGGAGATGGAGTCCTACTGCAAAAAGATTCAAAAAAATAATTATTTTCAAGTCTGAGGAAGATTAGGGTTGTCCTAAGTAATGATGACCAGGTAAAGAATCTTGTTCAAGGCATTAAATTGTACCCATGAATTTTTTTTTTCTTTATTGATTTTAGAGAGTGAGGAAGGAAGAAGGAGAGAGAGAGAGAAACATTAATGAGAGAGAACATCAAATGGCCACCTGCTGCATGCCTCCCACTGGGGATCAGGCCCACAACCTGGGCATGTG